GATAGGATGTCAACAACCGCTTAAAAATAACTGCATTTACTAAGTACAGATAAGTGCATATGTATTTTGTTTATTGTTCTTTAATTTTAACATTATAACATGAATTGCAGTGAAACTGTTATACAATTGAATTTATTTATACCACAGTCCAGTGTTTCCCACAGACTTGAACTATCTATTTGTGGCGGCATATATATGCAAACTCATTCTCTGGCAGCAGCAGGCGCTGTTGAAGTAGTAGAGATAGAGGTTTCCCCGGTAACGACTGTACACAAAGCAGCGCTTCGCTCACAAACGCTGCTTTATCAGACATACAAGAAGACATGAAAATGACATCCAAAATTTTCTGAAGACAGTCAGTTTCCTTCAGAAATACAGTGATATAAAAACACCTGCACTCAATGTATGGGAAACACTGTAGTCTCAAAATTAAAGTGTCAATTCTGCAGATTACATCATTATCCAGGATTGTACTGTCAGCAATTTATAAAAAACGTTTTCATAATTGTAACATACATATTTACATACATAATTATTCAGGTGCATGTGTAATAACCTGCGAAAACTTCAGGCTACAGCAGCACTTCGTCGTCGTCGTCTTGTCTGATGCACTCAACCAAGCGTTCTAACCACGACCTCGCCCCTCCCCACCCCCCAACCATTAGAATTTCGTAGGCGGGAATTATTTTAATGATATTCTAATGGGTACGACTCGGCACAGTACGGCACGGCTCGGTTTGAGTTTCCACTGCCGTTTAGTACTGCTTTAGAGTGGGCGGGATTGTTCACATGTCATTATAGTTGCGCCGCCTCTATTGCCGCGACTCCTGAAAAACGTTTTAATTCCGCCTCACCCCATCAAGCTCTCGCTGGATCCGCTCCTCTGCTATCAATGAGAGGAACGTCTGTACTTCCTCAACAGACAACGAAACAATCACTTTTTGCTTGTTAAAAAAAGGTGTGCTCGTTCAAAACAGTTGCGTTCGATCCTTCGCTGGCTGTGCTGATTTAAATCTAGCGGTTCTGTTGTGTTTGTGTCGCAAGTTCAGTGACGCAGGTAGTGATGATTCTCTCCGGCCAATCCGTGATCAGCAGAGTTTACACGTCACGTTTTGGTAACGGTACGGTTCACTTGGAACCTCAACCGAGGTGGTACTAAAAAAAGTACCATGTACTGTACCCAGTGGAAAACCCCCCAAAAGTGAACCGTACCGAGCCGTACCATGCAGTGGAAAAGCGCCATTTGTGGCATCACAAAACCCAGAAAACATTGCTGTAGTCCAAACGAGCCGTTCGTTGTAGTTCTTGAAAAGGGATTTTTTTAAAAACAAAATATCTCCCTTTGGAGTGGACTTTGAGATTTGTAACTTTGTAGATCTTTTTTATGCCCAAACATATACACTGACTAAAATTAAAAAAGTGAAAAGGCATAATAGGACCCCTTTAAATTGTGTTCCAAAGACGAACTTTTGTTCATTATAGGCTTGAAATTGAGCACACTGCGTTCATTCTCATCTTTATGTATGATAACACCTAAATAGGTAACTGTATGTTTAACAGGAATACCATTTCTAGTGGCTTTGCCTTTGTCCATACTAGGGATTTACTGCACATTATAAGTTATTATATATTACTTCTACTAGGCCGTTTTGGACTTTCTGCGTGAGAGCGCCCTCCGGCTTCGCGTATGAATGAAACATGCACTGCATGTTAACATTGTCTCGTTTTGGATATGAATAAACCATCCGATCATACATAGACTATCTTGTTTCTTCGCCCATGTTCTCCCTGAATTGATCTCATTTTTTTCCTCTTAGGTTGGATGTGTGTAAACTTGCTTCAGTCTTTATCTGTTGTGTTAGTCTTCACTAACTATCATATTAATGAATTGAAAGGGCATAGCTTGTATGATAAGGTGATTGGCTTGGTGCAAAAAGAGGGTCATAATAATTTGATCAGAACAAGTGAGCATGTAGTCATGACCAAGAGACCATGTGAGTAACCTGCCTGTCCTCTTAATCTCAGACATACCTGCAACAAGCCCAAGACCTGGTCATTCTTGAGAGCATTATACTCCAGACCCTGGGTAAGTTTGGAAGGGCAAGAATGGGTCAGTGAATCACCATACTAGAGAGATGCACCGAATAACCACATTTATTCTCATTCACTGCTAATTCCCAGGAGTCGACAGGACTATTACAAGCTCTTCTTTAAGAGCCATACTACTGTAACCTTTGTCATTTTTATTTCCATGTCAATCTGGCAATGCACCCTTCCTGTGTGTGGTTTCACAGTGCTATCAATTTTGCGTATTAATCTTAGTATATCTTGAGTCCACTGGAAATGTCAAAACTTCTGGTATTAAATAAAAAAACTGTAACAGTGCCATTTTTTTCTGCAGTATCAGTACCAATTACCAACTTAAATCATAATTTGACACTGTCAACTAAAACTGTTTTACAGTGTTTCTGCATGTCTTAAAAAGTTGTAATTCACCCTTCCACAAAAAAGGCCAAAAATGGTCTTTAATTGAAGCAGAACGTCTTAAATTCATAAGTCATGGCATTAAATGTTGTGTGCCCTGCAAAAAATGAATATCGAAAAGTACAGTAAAAATGTCTTTTCATATTAAACTGGTCAGAATCAGAGCTATCCAAGCATTTTGTTTTTTTGTAATATTTAAATGGAGATCAATTTATTTTTCTTAAAACTCTAAAGCATTGTTAACACAAGACATTTACATTATAGGCCATATTATTATTTTTTTTTATTCCTTTCAATTTTCCTAACATTTTCTTTACTTGGTCTTAAAATGTTTTAAATTTGCCTTCATAAGACTCGCAGAAACCCTGTTTTTATCTTCAGTGGCATTTAGTCTTCAAATCTCTCCTATTATGACATTGTTTCTGTGAATATCTACTTTTTTTTAGGATTGTGTGCAATAGCATAATAGTTTTACAGCATATTAAATCAGGAGATGGTAATGGTATCAACTGCTGACATATTAATAATACAATAACAATTTAATGCATTCCTACTGAATAAAATCATTAATTTCTTTCTTTCCAAAAAAATCTAAAGTTTCGCTCAGTAGTCTCTTTTGATCATACAAATTTCATCTTCATAATTTACTTTCTTGTTTGTTGTGCCTCAGGCTGCAGGACAAACTACCAAGAAATCAAAAGTGCAAGATGGTGATCAGTCAGAAGCCATTTTGAACATGATCTCCATGGCATCGTCCGACAGTACATTGGCCGGGCTGATGAGCCTCTCCGCCCCACCCTCCGGTTCCTCCATGGACTCCTCCGCTGACGACCACAGCATTGCTCCCTCATCCCAACACTGGCAGCCTCCTGCCAAGGAGCAGCCCACCACCAATGAGCTTCATGCACCTGCTAAGTTGTCTCTGAATGAGTATCGAGTGAAGCACGCAGACGAGCTGGCGGCGCAGAAGCGGAAGTTGGAGAACATGGAGGCTAGTGTGAAACAGGGATACGCCACTGCCGCCCAGGCACTCATGAACCAGCAGAAGAAAGAGAAGCACCATCACCACCAGCAGTCCAGCTCTAGTTCCTCAGACCTAAACAACCCCTCACCTATCGTCCTGAAGATCCCACTGGACGAGCGAACGGAACGGAGTTCCATAAAAATGCGCTTGGCAGTGCCAGGCCAATCAAGCAGTGGCGGGAACAGCAGCAGTAGCAGCAGTCGAGGATCCGAACCGGATATTAAAGTGCGGATTCGGGTTCCAGAAAGGCGTAGCGGGTCCGGAGAAGACGGGAAAAGTCGCGAGAAGCACCGAGAGCGGTCCAACCACCATCACCATCACCACCACCACTCCTCCTCTTCCACCACCGGCTCTTTATCAGCATCGTCTTCCTCATCCTCAGCACAAAAACACTCAAGTTCTGCCAGCGCTTCAGGAAGTAGCAAAAAGGTCTCAGGTGATTCTATGCGAACGAGTTCTTCGTCATCCTCATCCCGAAAAAGGACCCACCTGCCAGATCCTTCTTCTGGCAGCCATTCCTCGAAAGTCAGCAAATCGTCCAGAAACTCGTTTCAGTTGCCGACGCTTCCTGGAGTGCCCTCCCACGCGATGGGTCAGGGGTCCGACATCCTTCCCTCGCTGAGCCTCTCGCACCATCAGGGAAACTATTCACACTCCAAGTTGGACAAAGCCGACACGAACGGGCACAATACGGGCAGCCAGTCCAACGAGTACCAGGACACGTTTGACATGTTGAACTCGCTGCTCAGTGCGCAGGGGGTGCAGCCGGCACAACCTCAGATGTTTGACTATCGCTCTCAGTACGGAGAGTATCGGTATAGCAGTAGTGCTCGCGGAGGAACCCAAGCACCACCTTTACCCTCAGAACCACCTCCACCTCTGCCGCCACTGCCCAAATAAACCCCTTTCCGCTCATCCGTCCACATACGCTGATCAAATCAGTCGTTTTGGGAACCCTGGGTTCCTTTTGTGCATCTAACTTAGTGATATTGAGTTTGACAGCAGAGTAATGTAAGGCAAAAAATGTACCTGGTGAATCTTTGCCCTCATGTTGTCTTGCGTTTTGTGCGAGCGAGTGTGTTCACAACACCCATCTGTGGCAATAATGTTATAATAGAACAAAATATTGCAAAAAAAAAAAAAAAGCAAAAATGTTATTTATTGAAAAAAAATTGTACATGCTATTTTTGATGTTGCTCAGTTTTATATCAGCTCTAACAGAAAAGCATAATGGAATTAAGGGTATGTATTACTGAATGAGAGGGATCCGTTGTCCTCTTTAAAAAAAAAGTGTAACTGAATGCAAAAAGGAAAATGTTTTTGTTTAATGTATGGATTTAAGTCTTGCTAACAATATATGTCTTTTTTTATCGAGTATGGTATTTATTATTAGCCTTTTAAAACCATAGTTATTAGCAGTCGTTGCTTGAATGCGTCAGACGATGTTTGGATTTATTTTTATACTGTTGTAACCTGCTCCCCAGTCTGTATTTACTTGATATGTCATGTATGTTTTGAGAATGGACATACAAATCCCCAATATTTGCATCAAAATGTATGTTTCTAACATATGAATAGTCACTGAAGTAATGTTTTGATTTTGTTTGGTAAATATTTGTGGTGTTTTTTTGTATTGATTCTGTAAATGACTAAAAATGGACTATTTTTACATTTTTCCAAAAAAAAAACAAGAATATGCCTAATTTTGGGAAAGTATGTCTAGACCTACGATTCTAGATTGAGTCAGATGCAGTCATTGTTTTAAATGGTTGTAGAATATCATGCTCATATATGATACACTATACACAACAGTATGTCTAGCTTGTACTCGTTTTCATTCTTTTATTTCAGGGTTTTTTTTTTCCAGCAACACAAACACAAAAGCTGTCAGATGCAGGCTATTTGTCATTTTATAATGTAACTGATGTATAAATGGCCTTTAAACTTGAGTGAAAATTAATCTGTGATGGGTAAAAATACAATCCAAATGAAGCATCTTTCCACCAATTTTCTGTGAAGCTAACATTTTTTGATGCTTCTTCAGTTGAAAAAAAAATGACAACAGTATAAGATTCATTCTGTCGGCATTTATAAATGATTCCCATTAAAATGGTGGTACTATTATCCATCATAGCTTCATTTTTTAACGTTAAAGAGATAGTTCGCCAAAAAATTTAAATTCTGTAATGTTTTTCCAAACCTATATGACTTTCTTCTCCCAAAATTTATTTTGTCCATATAATGAAAGTATGGTGTTTGATGTTGTTTGGACCCCAAAATATCTTCATTTTTGGATGACTATCTCTTTAAATATGCCGTCTCTTGTATGGTCTGTTAGCTATTTGTTATCTGTCTGCATTTGAACACTCAAATCGACGCTTGTAGAGCGAATGGCGAAAATGCTAACCGCTCATGTTTTTTTGTTGTAATACCTCCATTTTTGTTTAACCTTGTAATTGTATCAAGGTCTTTTTTTTGTGTGTGTTTGGGAATGACAATATGCCATCCGATCCTGATTCATGAAATTAAAACTGGTGGGAACTTAAATGTTTTGAGCCAATCAGTTTGTACCTTTAACAAGATTGTCTCTTGCTTGATCATGCTTTTGTATGCAGTTAATAATGCAGATTACTTCTCTAACTGTCCTCTTAATTAATGGCATGACTTTCGTTGATCAATTTACAGACAAAAAAGTGGAAGCATGAAATTGAGTTTCTACTGTCCGAGTACATTTTACTTTAATAAATGTCGCGTTCTTTTAATAAGATGTTAGCAGTGATTCTGCCGTCCTTTTATCGTTTTCCTGATTGTGCCTGTTGATGTTGAGGAACATTTCAGGAACATTGTGAAATTATATGAAACACACTATAATAAGCTATAAAAGATCTGTTTTCACAGTTTTGGCATATATTCCCTATATGATGCACTCATTTCCTGTCCATGTTTCTGTTATCGTTCCCAAGTCGAATTTGAAGGTTTAACATCATGTTTTAGTTTTGTGTTTGCTGGTTTCTAGTTTTGGTTCAGTAAGACTGAAGAGAAGGCGTTCTGTGGGTCTAATGCAATTCATGTCACCACTGTATTTTCTGTGTATCTCCGTCTCAAGAATATAGCATTTTATTAAATGTATATATACTGTGTTTTAGTAGTACCACATGAACTCTCAGGTTTTGAATTGAATTGTTGGGGTGTTTCTTGTCAGAAGTTAAGGTTTGCATTTTTGTGAACTTGGTTCCTTTTTATAAATGTGGTTGATGTACAATAATGTTTTATGAGAAACATACTTGTGGGTGTTTTTCTTACCGATTGCAGTGTAAATTGTAATAATGTGACAGACGTTCTACTCATGCTTGCATGGTCTTAAGTGATTGGAGGAGCTATTCAGCCCCAGATGTAGGACATGTCTATATGAAGAGCGATGTCTCTGAGACTGAAATTTGTTAAGGTCCCAACAACAAGTGACGCAATGTATTATGTAATATTAATTGTATCCAGTAGCCACAGCATCATGTTCTTGTATTCCCTGGTTATATAATAGAATTATGTTTACCAGTGTTTATGTTTAGTGCAGGGTTCTTTTTAACTGCATTGAAAAGGAAAGTCAAAACAAAAACATTAACTATATTAGTTAATTATTTCAGTTAAGGCCTGCACCAACTAAACTTCCTAAACCCTAGGGCAGATTTGCTGCATGACAACATGCTGATCTCCTTGACTCCCTTATATTCATTAAAAGTTCATGTGGCACATGAAAATGTCTGGGAATTTTCCAAGATTAGTCGTAACATGCATTAGTTAATCAGATCAAATAAGGAATTATACATTCTATAACTTGAAAAAAATACAGCATAGCCCAAGAGCACTCCTGTAGTGTCTTTAATACCCATAATGCAATAGTTTTGCATGGTCTTAAGTGATGGGAGGAGCTATTCAGCCCCAGATGTAGGACATGTCTATATGAAGAGCGATGTCTCTGAGACTGAAATTTGTTAAGGTCCCAACAACAAGTGACGCAATGTATTATGTAATATTAATTGTATCCAGTAGCCACAGCATCATGTTCTTGTATTCCCTGGTTATATAATGGAATTATGTTTACCAGTGTTTATGTTTAGTGCAGGGTTCTTTTTAACTGCATTGAAAAGGAAAGTCAAAACAAAAACATTAACTATATTAGTTAATTATTTCAGTTAAGGCCTGCACTATGAAGGTATTTTTGGTGCAAAACAACTGAGTGACCGTTACAGCAGCATTTGTAGTTGTAGAGAATAGCCACACATGTGTATCAGTAAATCTGAAGTCACAGACAAAAGTTGCAAACTTGCAGATTTTTTTCTCTCTCCCACTCCTGTAGTGTCTTTAATACCCATAATGCAATAGTTTTGACTGGTGCAGCACCAGCTGTTTTGAGTTTCAATCATTCATAATTGTAGCATTGCATTCTGATTTTGTGTTCTGCTAGCTAGCCTATGTGCTCTGAACGCAAACCCCTCCTTTATGCAGTAAAGCCAAAAGTATGGTCACATGGACAGCTGACCATCACATGCACAGGATTTGGGGTAACACAGCAGAAAGTGTGCTAAATATTTGATCCGGTCACATGCCCCGCCTCTCAATCTCTCCACCAGTTGTAGGCTTTAAAGTTTGTCACTTTTATAGTCAAATGAGCTTCCAGTGTGGCTTCCAGTGCCTGTACTCTCAAATCATTTTCAGTTTTCTCCAAATAATTCCCTTTTCAATTTCCCTGGGTTTTTTTTTAACTCTGCATAAGGACAAGTTGACAGAAGCAACTCAAAATCAAGATTCAATCAACATCAGACATGGAATACAAAACGGTTCCCAGTGTGGAAAGATGGAGACCCACGCTACAAAAACAGCTGGACAGGTAATAAAAATTCACTCAAGAAAGCACATGTTGCTATCAAACCCCAAATTTGTGGGTTTGATTCCCAGCGAGTGTATTGAACTGATAGAAATGTTTATCTTGAATGCAATGCAATTTGCATTTACACTCTTAAAAATAAAGGTCATTTATTGGCATTTATGGTTCCATGAAGAAACTTTAATATTCATGGAATCTTTCCATTATACAAAAGATTCTTAATAGTGGAAAAAATGTCGTCAGATTATCCTTCACACTAAGAAAAAAATATTTTTTTTAAGAACTGTTCACTGAAATGTTCTTTGGGGAACCAAATGGCGGTTCTACACTCTTGAAACTAAAGGTTCTTTATTGGTATCAATGGTTCCATGAGGAAAAGGACATGAAGGTTCTTTGAGAAACCCAACATGGTTCTTCTATGGGATTGCAGTAAAAAACAGTTTTGCAACCTTTATTTGAGTGTACATAAAGCATCTGTCAAATTCATAAATGTACATTTCTACAGGTGGACAACTGAAGTTTGAAGTGGGAAATGATGCACCCACTTTGACCGGTGCCAAAATCACCTTCACTTTATTCACAAAAGATGAAAAATTTACATTCTGCTACCGGCACTATGACCAAGAAATTTAGTTGTATTAATCTTAAAAATGATGCACAAATATGGCAACTTTTCTAATTTAGGCGCACAGTTCCACGAGGGTGAGCCTGTCTATCCTGAGGAGAACTCTGTAGATGAATGGAACGCTGTGTTCCCTGATGTTCCTCTCTTTTCTAGACAAGGGGACAAGCAACCTACCTATGTGTTTGTATGGAAAACCTGGGGTAAGGAAAGAAGCGCTTACTGTACTGTGATGTGCAGTTGTCTAACCTACCTGACAATCCTCTATTGGGTTTGACAGGTAAATACTGGCAGGTGTGCGATGGCCCTCCTTCATCACTGACCATTGGCACTGATGATGTTCCTCTTGCCTCTTACATGATGGATGTTGTCATTTATCACTACAGGCAAAAAAGATAAATTCATCCCTATTAGATATGCATCCACACAGTTCAGTATAACCGGTCAGTGTAACCTAATGTTAATCTTTTATGATTTTATGGTTTAAGTAATGCAATACTATATTTAATCCTTGTTTCTAGACCATCACCCTTCATGACCCCAGCCAATACCTGAGCAAATCAGATGTGACTTTTAACTGGAACTTCGGGGATGGCAGTGGCACTGTAATCTCCAGGGAACTCACCGTCACACACACTTACACTGCAGCTGGAGCTTTCAAGGCCCAAGTTGTCGTACAAGCAACTATTCCGGATTTATCTTGTGCCACTCCAACAAACCTTCCCAATGAGGCCCGTCCCACCACCAACACCCTCACCACTGAGAGCCCCATCCACCCTACTGAACACATCACTGCAGGTGCACTGCATGGTTTTGCTGTTTAGTTATATTCGTGGACAAAGTACACAAATCATGTATTTGAGTTCAAGTTTAGATGCTCTAATGAAATGATACCTCAGTAAAATAGTTTTATCTTTTATTTATTTGTAAATTGAATTACATTTTTTTTATTTTTTTTTTGCAATTTGATATCATCCTGGTCCTCAAAGCACCTGTTTATGGAGAGAGGGGTCTAGTGTGATAGAGCTCAGTCTGATGTTATAAAGTAGTATGTATCGCCAACTAGTTCTCTGCATTCTAATATTTCATAAAATGAGCTTCAACAGCTCGGCCTTTTACAGCAAACCTTTATGAAAATTAACCATGGTTTTATTGTAGTACAAGTGTAGTAACCATGGTTTTTTGGCACATATTTTTACTATTTGTATAACCACAGTTTTACTACAAATAGCCTACCATGGTTAAAGGGATCATATGATGCTGCTAAAAAGAACATTATTTTGTGTATTTGGTGTAATGAAATGTGTTTATGCGGTTTAAAGTTCAAAAACCACATTCTTTTCCACATACTGTACATTATTGTTTCTCCTCTATGCCCCGCCTTTCTGAAACACGTCTATTTTTATAAAGCTCATCGGTCTGAAAAGCGAGGTGTGCTACGCAATGTATTATGTAATATTAATTGTATCCAGTAGCCACAGCATCATGTTCTTGTATTCCCTGGTTATATAATAGAATTATGTTTACCAGTGTTTATGTTTAGTGCAGGGTTCTTTTTAACTGCATTGAAAAGGAAAGTCAAAACAAAAACATTAACTATATTAGTTAATTATTTCAGTTAAGGCCTGCACCAACTAAACTTCCTAAACCCTAGGGCAGATTTGCTGCATGACAACATGCTGATCTCCTTGACTCCCTTATATTCATTAAAAGTTCATGTGGCACATGAAAATGTCTGGGAATTTTCCAAGATTAGTCGTAACATGCATTAGTTAATCAGATCAAATAAGAAATGATACATTCTATAACTTGAAAAAAATACAGCATAGCCCAAGAGCACTCCTGCTGATGATGTTCCTCTTGCCTCTTACATGATGGATGTTGTCATTTATCACTACAGGCAAAAAAGATAAATTCATCCCTATTAGATATGCATCCACACAGTTCAGTATAACCGGTCAGTGTAACCTAATGTTAATCTTTTATGATTTTATGGTTTAAGTAATGCAATACTATATTTAATCCTTGTTTCTAGACCATCACCCTTCATGACCCCAGCCAATACCTGAGCAAATCAGATGTGACTTTTAACTGGAACTTCGGGGATGGCAGTGGCACTGTAATCTCCAGGGAACTCACCGTCACACACACTTACACTGCAGCTGGAGCTTTCAAGGCCCAAGTTGTCGTACAAGCAACTATTCCGGATTTATCTTGTGCCACTCCAACAAACCTTCCCAATGAGGCCCGTCCCACCACCAACACCCTCACCACTGAGAGCCCCATCCACCCTACTGAACACATCACTGCAGGTGCACTGCATGGTTTTGCTGTTTAGTTATATTCGTGGACAAAGTACACAAATCATGTATTTGAGTTCAAGTTTAGATGCTCTAATGAAATGATACCTCAGTAAAATAGTTTTATCTTTTATTTATTTGTAAATTGAATTACATTTTTTTTATTTTTTTTTTGCAATTTGATATGATCATCCTGGTCCTCAAAGCACCTGTTTATGGAGAGAGGGGTCTAGTGTGATAGAGCTCAGTCTGATGTTATAAAGTAGTATGTATCGCCAACTAGTTCTCTGCATTCTAATATTTCATAAAATGAGCTTCAACAGCTCGGCCTTTTACAGCAAACCTTTATGAAAATTAACCATGGTTTTATTGTAGTACAAGTGTAGTAACCATGGTTTTTTGGCACATATTTTTACTATTTGTATAACCACAGTTTTACTACAAATAGCCTACCATGGTTAAAGGGATCATATGATGCTGCTAAAAAGAACATTATTTTGTGTATTTGGTGTAATGAAATGTGTTTATGCGGTTTAAAGTTCAAAAACCACATTCTTTTCCACATACTGTACATTATTGTTTCTCCTCTATGCCCCGCCTTTCTGAAACACGTCTATTTTTATAAAGCTCATCGGTCTGAAAAGCGAGGTGTGCTCTGATTGGCCAGCTATCCAGTGCGTTGTGATTGGTTGAATACCTCAAGAGTGTGACGGAAATGTTACGTCCCTTACCATACTGTGATGCCTTGTCTGGCCAGAGCGATGATTCAAAAACATTAAAACCCATTACAAACGAGGCATTTGTTGCATCCAGTCGGGACATAATTACTGATTATAATGATTTATACTGTCCTTTTACGTGTTGCGTTGCATCGCGCCTCGTAAACATAAAACCATGTCTGCATTTGTGATCGGAACAAAACAAGCCCTACTCTACACTGCTCAAAATTCATGTTTGAATCCTCAGTGGCAAATCCTTTAAATGAAAATGTACTTACAGTCTGTGAGTCAGAACAGCCGGCATTGTAGTCTACTCTCCCAGGATCAGGAAACAGTCCTCCATAAAATGTGCTGCACACATCTGAATATTTGCGTTGAACTGTTCCGGAACAGTGTTGTAAATACAACTTAACCACTGATTTCTAGTCGTGTCCTCTTTTGGAAGACCAAACAAAGTAGTTTCGCTTTCACAACGAAGCACACAGCGCCTTCACGACATGGCCGCGGCGGCAACAATACTACAGTGTGAATAAAAGTTACGCCGCCTTTCTTTGCGTGAACATTTGGGCGGCGTTATGCAAATCTTCCCACATCCTGACGTAGACATGTGGGGGCGTGTTAGAACGAGCCGTTTTAGGTAGATGTGGCTGACTCTTAACTTTTATAAAGAATATCTCTTTGGATTTGAGACTTTAGTCTTTGCAACTTTACAGATCTTCTTTATGCACCAAGAGCTTGTAACACTCCAAAGAGAAAGGAAAAATTGAAATCCCATCATAGGACCCCTTTAAACTACGCTTAGTGGAGCAAAACCATGGTTAATTTGTGGTTACCATGGTTTAACAATAGTAACCATGGTTTTTTGGTTTTATTTGTGTTAAAAGCATGGTTAATTTTCATAAGGGAATTTAGTTCACAAACAACTTACAGTCATGCATACCCTAAATAATATACGTTACATTTACAACAAACATTACTAATATTCAGCATTAGTCACTTAATTTTCGCGCCATCAGGTAAATCCTTCGTTCAGTGATTGCAAACGGATCACGTTAATTCGCTAAAGAATCGAAAAGTCCACTGCGATTAATGAACCGTTTCAACAGGTTCATCAGAATCAGTTCCAAATAATTATTCATTCATTCGTTCACATTAATCCCCACATGAAAAAAATACTATAGTAATTTATAGTAAATACTGAAATATTAGAAAGCATGACATAGAAAACAATCAGTGCTAATTACAACCAGAGTAGAAGTCAAAGTACTTATAACTGACTTCATTATTCAACAGATCATGCTACCAGTCAGTCTTCAGCTCCCATTCAGAAATCCACACCTGCATCTACAATGAAAACTATTCCACCCGCACCTACAAATGGATTTCAAACAGGATCCAGTCTTGAGAAGGTCTTTGATTTTAGATCTGCATCTGAGATGTCTGAAGCTTTGTATACGGCCACAAAGACAACACTGGAGGCAACTGGTGAGTTGCAGTTAAAAATATTTCGAATTTCAGTTAATATAATTAATATAAATATAAATGATATATTATGTAAATAAATGTACTTAATAATGCTAATAATATATAATCAAAAATAATATATTAATATCAATTTAAACACAAATTTCCAAAACACCAGCCTCTGACATGGAGGTGATGATGGAGGAAGACGACATTGAAAGCCAGGCCCATGTATCAATAATAAAGCGCCAGGCTCCAAACACAAATGACTGTGATTTACCGCTATGGATCCTTCTCAACTGAAATTGAGATTATTGATGAGATTCCTCCCTTGAACAGCAGTGTATTTTTATATTTTGTAATATAGACCTTCATTGAAGAGTAATCTACATTTGTATCCTCAGAGGGCATTGAGAGTGTGCAGATCGTCCAGGTGACTGTAGCTGATGATTTTCTGCTAACACAGATGGAGCAGAATGCTGTTGATTTCCCTGTTTCCTGCCAAGGAAGGTGAGATCTGGCAAAACATGTAGCTGGAACCACAAAATACAGCCTGACGGAGAATTCACAACCTTAATCTCCTCTTTCCAGCCTCCCCACTGAAGTGTGCACTGTAGTATCGGATGCAGACTGGCATGTGCCAGTTACGACCATCTGCATTGCTGTGAGCCCCTCCTCAGACTGTCAACTCATCCTTCGACACTTCTTCAATGACTCTGGGATCTTCTGTATCAATGTGTCCATGATGAATGATGTCAGTCTGGCTGTCACAAATGCCAGGGTTAATATTAACATAGGTGAGTTCATTTATTTACTATTGAAACATATAGCATGGTGCTCCAAAATGAGAGCAGTGCTGTTAAGCCAGAGCCGGTTCCACCACCAAAGCTGTGGAACACCAGGAAACCTTGGAGGCCTGTGCACTGGTCAGCCTGAAAAAAACTGTATGGTAATTAACTCAATACAATATATCATTAATTTTGTTTGTTTGTTCATTTGCAACTACCTACCAGTTTGCGAATCCTGTCCAGCACCAGGTCAATGATTTCTTTTCCAATAGTGTAGTGACCACGGGCGTAGTTATTGGCAGCATCTTCCTTTCCTGTGATGAGTTGCTCAGGGTGGAACAGCTGACGGTATGTCCCACTGCGCACCTCATCTGGACAGACAGGTCAAGAAGAAATGTTTAACAAACAGAGCACTTTGACACACACAATTATCACAACTTAAATCAAGTCCCATTCTCTTACCAATGACAGTGGGCTCCAGGTCTACAAACACAGCCCTGGGGACGTGCTTTCCAGCTCCAGTCTCACTGAAGAAGGTGTTGAAGGAATCATCACCTCCTCCAATGGTCTTGTCGCTGGGCATCTGCCCATCCGGCTGGATGCCATGCTCAAGACAATACAGTTCCCAGCAGGCATTGCCAATCTGGACTCCAGCTTGACCAACGTGGATAGAGATGCACTCACGCTGTGGAAAGGAATGGTAAATAATTCAATTAAAATGCCACAAATCTTTTTATTAGGTTGTTGGCTCTCAAGACATATAAAAGACTTCTTTTGCACCATCATTCTGTTGACATTTGCATTTTATGACATTTTACATTTGGTTAATATTTTGGGTACAACAATAGACACTTGACTGACATTGCATCATGTACCAAAAAACGTCTAAAAGTCTTTCTTTGAGATCATAAATGCACTGTAAACACCTGCTAAAGAACAGACATGCAAGACGTGAACTGGCATAATAAAGACTTAGTAGGTTACCAAAAAGGAAGAACAAAGAAAGCATTTAGTTCTCTTTAATCAAAGGGAATGAGGCAGCAGAATGGGAACAAGGCAGATATGCCCCACCCACATAGAACAGGCTTGCCAGTCCGTGCCTGACTAGGCGTTGAAAGAGAACAATAAAAATGTCGACAGAAATCCACCTTTTCCCATTTATGTCATCTCAACGGTCTACATAAGAGTATGGATTTCAATAAAGGAACAGCATTTATTTTAAGAAGGTTTTTAGAAGCAGAAACTGAATTTTCTCAAGGGCTGTAACCACTATTTGAGGGGAATCCAGAACGTTGCTTGATCTTACATTTATTTTTTTTTATATTTGGTCACCACTAATCTTAAATATTTAGTTGCACTGTTGAATTTCCCTAAAGACAGCATGATAAAAAAAAGAAATTGAACAAAAGCAAATTCAGCAACATAATGAAATGCATTAAAGCATTTAATGTAAAATTTCAGTGGAAGCAATAACAGCTGTGGAACAGAACAGGAATAGAAATACAGTCCTCTGCTGCACAGGCCAGACATGAGCTTCTGCAGACAGCTGCAGTCCCCACCCAGTTTACTCCTCATGCGGATGGGAGGAGGGGTGGATGCAAATTTTAAGAAAATCCTGTCAATCTCTGACGACAAAGAGCTTGTGACAAAAATTTTTTTTTAATAATAATAATAAAATACAATCATTCCATTTGTGCATTTTTGTTAAGATATTATTACGTTCCATTTATTAACTATAATACATTGTGATTTTAATTGTGCTGCAATTGAATATATAATAATTTAGATAGAGATAATGCATACTATTTTGGCTATAATTTCAATGCACATCAAAAAAAAAAGTCATAATGTAAGGTGGTTTTGGAGATGCACCCTCAAAACAGGTGTACTACTAAATGTAATTTATGTTAAATGTTTCACTATTTTATAATGTGCATCGTAAAATGATCATGTTATTTATAAAAGCATTTGACAAACAACGCGTAATTTCTAACATATTCTTGAGGGCACCGTTATCTGAATGGATGGATGGATGGATGGATGGATGGAATCCTGTAGGCGTTTGCAAAGGCATTTATAAACTAAATGCATGTGCGACGAATAATATTTTTTAAATGGCCTTCTTTGCATTACCTCACTAAAGATTATTTGTAAAAAAAAAACAAAAAACGTAGTACTACGTAGTAGCAATGTTGCGAGCTTTGCCTCCATTTTAAGCAAAGGGCGCGCGCTGAATGGCAAAGAAAGCCGCTCGAGCTGCTTTAAAAAAACAAAACAACAGACGAGGATTAAACGTCATGCACATTTATGACCGAAAACCTTTGGCGCGTCGTTATTTGAAAGGGAAAAAATTCTACTCACCATTGTTCTGGAGGGGATGGAGCGATGAGGTGAATATTATCAGGCAGGGAATTTCTTTATTGTTGGGAGGATACTGTGAGTACACTGTCCAAGATTGAGACAGTGAGTGGAGGATGAAGGGGAGGAGCTAGAGTGAACGTGACTTCGAAATGAGGAAGGTAAATTAGCGCAGCACTAATGGCCGATATAAATCAGTGCAATGCACATCTGATCATTCTTAACTGACATTTGTCGTTTTGGTATTCATCCAAGAATGTGATGGAGATTGAAACTTGTTTTCATCCTTTAGGTTTGTACACGTTTCCTTTCACGCAAGCAATCAAAACACAATATCCTCCTGGGACCCAGGCATAGATTTTTTTCCTCTGTAGGGGACATTATATTTTAGTGAATTTCTCATGTCTGGATGTCCTGTACAGAGCACATTCAGGGCTTTTTAGAGATATCAAATGTTTGGAGGTTTGATCATAAACACTCCCTCTCCTTGGTCTTTAAAAGTGACTGATAATAGAATTTAGCACTCTTAGGGAAATATGATAATCTTTTGTAATTATCATTTAAATCTGACTAAATTCAAATTGTCTGTCGTATATAAACATCTCAGAAAAATGTTATAGGGTTTCAAATCAGAATATGACTTTTTGTTACGAAACAGGGCATCATTTTCATACGTGTCTTCTGTAGAGGACACCAGGACAAACATCATGTTAATCAGGCATTTTGGGGAAACAAGAAGTCAATAGGGAAAGACATTATAGATCAATATTCCTATGAAATATGAGATATTCTTATGAAAATGTTGCAAAGTTATTACTCCCATTATTACGCTTCTTTATTTTATTATGGTTTGCCCCAAGAACACATATTTATGCAAATTAGATGCAAGGTATAGATACATTGTACAATATGGGAATACCAATTTATGAACATTTTATGCACATATTGAATAAAGTAAAATAGTATATCAAATCATTCTGTTATAATTTTCATAACGTAGTTGAGAATCATCTTTGTACAAAGTTTGGTTAAAAATAGCCTGAAACCTAAAAACTGATTGGTGAATGAAAAAATGAAACATTGTTTTTGCCTATACATGCCTTTTTTTTATAACTTAGTACTGGTGTCTTCTACAAAGGACATACAATAAAATATGAATTAAATATATTTTTCAAAAATGTTTTTTCTCCATTTGTTTCTCCATCTTATTTGGTTCTTCTTTCACTTTAATAATTTGAATAATCATTTAATAACTTAGTACTGGTGTCTTCTACAAAGGACATACAATAAAATATGAATTAAATATATTTTTCAAAAATGTTTTTTTCTCCATTTGTTTCTCCATCTTATTTGGTTCTTCTTTCACTTTAATAATTTGAATAATCATTTAATTTGATAGCAGAAATGTAAGATTCATGTTTCAAATCACGCTTATGGCATTTTTACACAGTGGAGCTAAGGCTGCTCTGTGCCTGCTCAAAATTCGGTGTAAATGTTTACTTTAATGTTTAGAGTAAATGCGTGTATGCCACCTCTGAGCAGCATAAACAGTCTGTGTAAAGATGCATAAATGCCACTTCAGAAGTGCTTCTATGCCACCTTTCCAGAGTAAGTTAAGCATTAGAGGTGCTGAATGGAAAAATATCACATGCATATCCCAATAATACTGTAGGAAATACACTTACATTTCCTAAAAACGGCATTTATTTAACCTTTTAAATCTATCCATAGTGTTACTTGTAATCAATGATGATATGAAACCATCATGAGGTTTTCTGTAGTTTACTGAATATATACTGTAAATGATATCTGCTACTGTATAGCCTGTGACTGATCAAGTCATATTAAGGACATAAGAATAGCTGAGGTCAAATTTGTGACTAATAGTGAATAATTTTAATAGCTTGAGACACCAGCACATGGTAAGACCGGTTTTAGCTGTTATTGTCAGCAGGGACACATGAAGCACACTTTTAGGTTACCTGACTTTTTTTCTTTTCTTTTTTTTTTTTACAGTACTGAGTTTGTGAACATTGAGCTTTAAAGTATAAAATATCTGAATGTAGATACAATAGGTGCTATCAGACTGGGCCTAGTGTTGCATGGTACCATGAACCCTCCCACTGTCCTGCTCGCAGTCTCTCCTCCCTCTGTGTCCTAGATTTTGTTGAAATGATGTCATTGTATTTGTCACGTGAATGACTTGACTTACCAGCACATGGTAAGACCGGTTTTAGCTGTTATTGTCAGCAGGGACACATGAAGCACACTTTTAGGTTACCTGACTTTTTTTCTTTTCTTTTTTTTTTTTTACAGTACTGAGTTTGTGAACATTGAGCTTTAAAGTATAAAATATCTGAATGTAGATACAATAGGTGCTATCAGACTGGGCCTAGTGTTGCATGGTACCATGAACCCTCCCACTGTCCTGCTCGCAGTCTCTCCTCCCTCTGTGTCCTAGATTTTGTTGAAATGATGTCATTGTATTTGTCACGTGAATGACTTGACTCTTTTTTCCTGCTCTGTCAGTGTCAGTGAGCTGTTCGCATCTCTGTCTTGGTTTCTGCAAAACTGGAAGTCTGTTTGTGTGTGTTTAAACATACCCATGACTGCACATCCCTAATTGCAGGGTCTGGACGTCTGAGCACAACGATCGGTTTGAGCCTCCTACTCACTTGCCCAACTCAGCTATCTCTGGTATTTCAGGCAGTTTGTTGAGTCTTTCAGACTCTTGTTTCCTTTAGTTAATTGTTTAAATAAATATGACGGTATAACCCTTATCAGTAAATATAACCGCACTTTCATTTAATCACATATTGTTTATCCAATCACAAGTGTGCTTGCTTACAACATAGCAAAAATCTCAAATCATTCAAGCTTAGCATTCCATGGGAAGTGCCCTATTGGCTGGAATACTGTAGGGAATTTTCACAGCTGCTGCTATGAGAATAGAATGGGAAAGATGGGTCTGTGTGCAGTTGCCAGTGGTGAGCAAACTTTAAACATAAACCACACAACCTATTTGGTATTCTGCCATTGACTGGGTGTACGTAATGTCAGTCTGTAACCCATATTAAATGAGTAATGGACTTTACTTTTACACTTTTACATCAGCTAAATACTTGCAGTGAATATAAGAAGCCTCTATTTTTTATATAGATTTTTATGACAACAGGTGTTGCTTCTTTTTGTAAATCAACTATTGTAATCTGGATCTGAACATTTGTTTTCCTTTAGTCTTTTCAAGATGGTTATTATAAATAATGCAGCAACTTTAGCATCCTAGCTTACTGTATGTTCACTGATACGGTATTCTATATTTACACATAAAAAAATCATACACTGATATAAATCAAGTAACAATAATCTGTCTAATGCACTTATTTAAACTCTTTATTGTTTAGATATCAAAATGTCTCCAGATAACATCTGGAAGTAGTTAAGGCTCTGAATAGAAATAAAAAAGATAATCATAGTATGTATAACCTTCAGTATTTGCACATCACTTTGCATATCATTGTTTTGTTATATCTTGTTCTCTTCCTGCTATGTCCCTGCAGGATAGCTGTAGTCCATTTAGGCCTGCACCATTGACAATATTGATTTTTGGTCCTGGCCTTAATGGGTTGTGCACTGCAGTGTGCAGAATCAGAGATTATGCTTAAAAAGCAACAGCGATCTATATAGAGCAGGAGCAGCTGATTGATCTGGCATTAGGACTTGTCTACAAAAGTGCAAAATGAAAGGACTAAACATGGAAGGACATTACAAATATGTATCAAATACAGGCATAACCATTATTAATGAACAATTTAAAAGAATACCAACAGAAGCAGGTATATACATAGAAATTGTTTATATAATTTAACTACAGTGAATTCCTATAAGGTATATGAAAGCATTATTATTCTAAACATGTCCGAGGAGCTATGAGACCTGTCTTCACTGCTGAACTGTTGTTAGCAACCAGCCTATAAACAGTCAAATGAACACTCATGCATGAAAATGAGGAAAGGAAGAGAAAGTGAGAAGATGGGGGAAAGGACATTTAAGAATGGACTGGTTTTAACCATAGGCTAAAGTAAGAATTTTGCATTAATCAGTTGCAATATAATATTTTAAATGCAAGCTTATATATAAATATATATATATCCTTATAATATTGCATTTTATTGTATTTATACTAACAGAACTCTCAATTTCAGTGCCTGTGATGAAGACAATAACAGAAAATATCCACTTGCATTTAAAGGGGTCATATGATGCGATTTAAATTTTTCTTTTCTCTTTGGAGTGTTACAAGCTCTTGGTGCATAAAGAAGATCTGTAAAGTTGCAAAGACTAAAGTCTCAAATCCAAAGAGATATTCTTTATAAAAGTTAAAAGTCAGCCACTCCTACCTAAAACGGCTCATTCTAACACGCCCCCACATATCTATGTCACTATGTGGGAAGATTTGCATAACACATCTCAAATGTTCACGCAAAGAAAGAAGGCATAGCTTTTATTCTCGCTGTAGTATTGTTGTTGCCGCCATGTCGTGAAGACGCTGTGTGCTTCGTTGTGAAAGCGAAACTACTTTGTTTGGTCTTCCAAAAGAGGACGATGTCACTTCGTCATGCCTGGAGCTGATCCGTGCTGGTCGCTGAGGAAATACTTCAACTTCTCAAGCGGAGTCCAGCCCGGGGTCGTGGTTGCCGCTGGCATCACAGTATGGTAAGGGACGTAACATTTCCGTCACACGCTTGAGGTATTCGACCAATCACAACGCACTGGTTAGCTGGCCAATCAGAGCACACCTCGCTTTTTCAGACCGATGAGCTTTGTAAAAATCGACACGTTTCAGAAAGGCGGGGCATAGAGGAGAAACAATAATGTACAGTATGTGGAAAATAATGTTTTTTGAACCTTAAACACATTTCATTACACCAAATACACAAAATAATGTTCTTTTTAGCAACATCATATGACCCCTTTAAGATGCAATACATCTTTAAAAAATGTATTTATTCCTAAGATAGATAGATAGATAGATGCTCTGTTGATGATGACAAAATCAGAATGTGGTGTTGGAGTAACTAAATAGGGCCAGATGGAAGAGCTGGTGTTAAAAAGGTTGGGCCTTCCCCTC